TGAAGAAAGAAGATTTTGCAATAGTAATGAAAAAAGTTACAAGCTTTTAAATTACTTAAAATATTTTATGAAAGTATCTTATACATTTGTAAACAAGGAATTATTGTGGAATAGATCAGCGATGTCCAACCTGCGGTCCACTCAATGTTTTTGTGTGGCCCTTTTAAAACAGTAATTATCTTGTATAGATTTTTATTATAATGAAATATTACATGTATAGTTAAATACATTAATATGATGTATAACACCTTATCATGTACTGTATACTCAGAAATTAAAACAGTAAACAATTTCAGTTGGACAACACTGGAACAGACTAACATTATCAACTCAATTACTTTTAATATCAAACTTTAATATTAGCAGTAACTGATTTACTGACTGACAATGAAGGCTGTTTCTTTTTCAACTTCCAACAGTCCATAAAACAAAGACAAATATAAATAACAAAAATGAATTTATTACCAAAAGTTAGGTATAAACATGGTTACTTTTTGACATAATCACCATGAAGATTGAGGCATTTGTCATATCTGTGGATGAGCTTTTCCATCCCCTCTTCATAGAATGTTGAGGCCAGTGAATTGAGATGGCCTTAATGACATTGTTTTGAAGATTGTCATTAGTCTCAAACCTCTGCATCTTAGCCATGTTTTCAGTTCAGGAAAAAGGTGGAAGTCTTCACACATTAAAAAGTTTCAAGCTTAGTAGTGGAAGTCTGAAAAGTAGAAGTCTTCATCACCTTTAAACACCCAGCATATAACCCCAATTTAGCACTGAGCGATTTCTATCTCTTTCCTGAACTGAAAATGTGGCTAGGAGGCAGAGGTTCAAGACTAATGATAATCTTCAGAATAACGTTAGGGCCCATCTCAAGTCATTAGCAGCAACATTCTATGAAGAGGGGATTCCACAGATAGACAAATGCCTCAATCTTCATGGTGATTATGTTGAAAAATAACCATGTTTTGGTTACCATACTTTCTGGCGTATAAGATGACCCCAACTTTTACAGTTAAAATATAGAGTTTGGGATATACTCGCCATATATGATGACACCCGGCATATAAGATGACCCCCAACTTTTGAGAAGATTTTCCTGGGTTAAAAAGTCATCTTATACGCTGGAAAATACGGTACTTTTCAACATAATCTACGTAATAAACTAAACTTTTGGTAATAAATTCATTTTGTTATTTACATTTGTCTCTGTTTTATGAACCATCAGAGGTTGAAAAAGAAACAACCCCCATATTAAATTTATTAATTGTTAAAATGATTTGGCATACTACTCATATTATTAACATCATAATCTATTCATCATGTCAATAATTAAGATTAATTTAGAACAATTTAACTGTCTGGTAAATTCATCTTACTTCAATTATACAAACAGACAAACAATGACTAAGACAAGAAATATTTAAAAGTGTTTCCTTTTATTTTATAACAGACATTGAAAGTTAATCTTAAATTTTTAATATAAAAATATAAACCATGAAAAAATATATACAGTTTTAGATAGAAACAATGAAAAGCAGATCAATAATTTTGAAGATTCTATAATAATAATAACTCTCCTGTGGTCATCACCTGAGTCGTGGAAGGAGAGTCCAGTAATTTTACTGATCCATAGAGCAATGCAGGCTGGAGCACAAGCTCCTGATAGGGACACCCATGCCAGTAAGGTCTATGGATGTGTACACTACGAAAACAACAAAATAAATTATTTACAAACAACGAAAAAAACTATAACAGACAAATAAGTACCAAAACAAACACTGATACACAGCACAGTGGCACACCAAGAGAACAAGAACTCACAACTTATTGGTCTTTTCTTTGGTCCAGTGCTGTTACACACAATGCTGATGCAGGCTGGATCGAGGAAGACAACAGAAACTTGCACAACATACTAACTATGCCCTGTGCTGAAATAAACCTACACGACATCCTCTACACTGTTAACAGAACACACAACTGGAAGACACCTGGTGTAGACAACATTCACAATTTCTGGTATAAAAAGTTTACATCACTGCATATATAAATAAACATCTCCAAACCCGATATCCAATATAGTAAGACACCAACCGAATGCCGTAAATTAATCGGGCTATTTTAATGCTAAATTCTAAATAAATTACGTAATTAATTTGGCACTAGAGGTAAGCTTTAGGTGCCATCTCTTATTAAAATTAATAATTATAAATATATTAAATAATTTAAATAATTTGGAACCGCTGGGAGAAAAATTACGTAATTTATTTTGAATTTAGCATTAAAATAGCCCGATTAATTTACGGCATTCGGTTGGTGTCTTACTATATTGGATATCGGGTTTGGAGATGTTTATTTATATATGCAGTGATGTAAACTTTTTATACCAGAAATTGTGAATGTTGTCTACACCAGGTGTCTTCCAGTTGTGTGTTCTGTTAACAGTGTAGAGGATGTCGTGTAGGTTTATTTCAGCACAGGGCATAGTTGGTATGTTGTGCAAGTTTCTGTTGTCTTCCTCGATCCAGCCTGCATCAGCATTGTGTGTAACAGCACTGGACCAAAGAAAAGACCAATAAGTTGTGAGTTCTTGTTCTCTTGGTGTGCCACTGTGCTGTGTATCAGTGTTTGTTTTGGTACTTATTTGTCTGTTATAGTTTTTTTCGTTGTTTGTAAATAATTTATTTTGTTGTTTTCGTAGTGTACACATCCATAGACCTTACTGGCATGGGTGTCCCTATCAGGAGCTTGTGCTCCAGCCTGCATTGCTCTATGGATCAGTAAAATTACTGGACTCTCCTTCCACGACTCAGGTGATGACCACAGGAGAGTTATTATTATTATAGAATCTTCAAAATTATTGATCTGTTTTTCATTGTTTCTATCTAAAACTGTATATATTTTTTCATGGTTTATATTTTTATATTAAAAATTTAAGATTAACTTTCAATGTCTGTTATAAAATAAAAGGAAACACTTTTAAATATTTCTTGTCTTAGTCATTGTTTGTCTGTTTGTATAATTGAAGTAAGATGAATTTACCAGACAGTTAAATTGTTCTAAATTAATCTTAATTATTGACATGATGAATAGATTATGATGTTAATAATATGAGTAGTATGCCAAATCATTTTAACAATTAATAAATTTAATATGGGGGTTGTTTCTTTTTCAACCTCTGATGGTTCATAAAACAGAGACAAATGTAAATAACAAAATGAATTTATTACCAAAAGTTTAGTTTATTACGTAGATTATGTTGAAAAGTACCGTATTTTCCAGCGTATAAGATGACTTTTTAACCCAGGAAAATCTTCTCAAAAGTTGGGGGTCATCTTATATGCCGGGTGTCATCATATATGGCGAGTATATCCCAAACTCTATATTTTAACTGTAAAAGTTGGGGTCATCTTATACGCCAGAAAGTATGGTAACCAAAACATGGTTATTTTTCAACATAATCACCATGAAGATTGAGGCATTTGTCTATCTGTGGAATCCCCTCTTCATAGAATGTTGCTGCTAATGACTTGAGATGGGCCCTAACGTTATTCTGAAGATTATCATTAGTCTTGAACCTCTGCCTCCTAGCCACATTTTCAGTTCAGGAAAGAGATAGAAATCGCTCAGTGCTAAATTGGGGTTATATGCTGGGTGTTTAAAGGTGATGAAGACTTCTACTTTTCAGACTTCCACTACTAAGCTTGAAACTTTTTAATGTGTGAAGACTTCCACCTTTTTCCTGAACTGAAAACATGGCTAAGATGCAGAGGTTTGAGACTAATGACAATCTTCAAAACAATGTCATTAAGGCCATCTCAATTCACTGGCCTCAACATTCTATGAAGAGGGGATGGAAAAGCTCATCCACAGATATGACAAATGCCTCAATCTTCATGGTGATTATGTCAAAAAGTAACCATGTTTATACCTAACTTTTGGTAATAAATTCATTTTTGTTATTTATATTTGTCTTTGTTTTATGGACTGTTGGAAGTTGAAAAAGAAACAGCCTTCATTGTCAGTCAGTAAATCAGTTACTGCTAATATTAAAGTTTGATATTAAAAGTAATTGAGTTGATAATGTTAGTCTGTTCCAGTGTTGTCCAACTGAAATTGTTTACTGTTTTAATTTCTGAGTATACAGTACATGATAAGGTGTTATACATCATATTAATGTATTTAACTATACATGTAATATTTCATTATAATAAAAATCTATACAAGATAATTACTGTTTTAAAAGGGCCACACAAAAACATTGAGTGGACCGCAGGTTGGACATCGCTGATCTATTCCACAATAATTCCTTGTTTACAAATGTATAAGATACTTTCATAAAATATTTTAAGTAATTTAAAAGCTTGTAACTTTTTTCATTACTATGTTCATTTAAAATACTTAATAGTTATTAAATTTAAAAAAATTATTTATATGTATATATATAC